AAACATTTGTATATAGTTTTAAAACAGACATTCTGTATGTAAGTATGAGTGTAATCAAATATTATACAGAGTAACAAGTAGGAAATGTTTGGGGCAGTGTTTGGACAATCCACTGTATACAGTGTGTAATATTTTATCAAGGTAAAAAACCAATGAATTGTACAATTAGCAGAAGCACATATCTTTCTCGTACATTCTTAGATATCTTATTTTACGCGCTTATTTCGCCTCGTTAATATAGTTTACAATTACAATAAAAAAATTAAGTTCAGAATGATCTAAAAGCACAGTACACGTAACCAGCTTTCCTAGGATTTCAAATTCAATTACAATAATCGTGGACACGAATGAATTCGATTAAAATAGAAATTTCTTCGAATTATTGTCGGAACGAGGATTAAGATTCGTATCCAGAATTTGTTTTCGTTTAGAAAAAACAAGCGGTAAATCTTTGGAATACATTGTACAATTGGTTACTAGAACGGCGGCACGCATTAAGTACTAAGTAAACGTGATTACTTAACTGTCAACGAGTGCTGAAACGAGTCAACCAGATTTTCACCGTTGTAACCAATTGTACAACATCGAATCGTAGTTACCGTATTAGAATAAACAATCGTTTTGTCACAAAGAATAGTCAAAGAGAGGAGAACAAAGATAGCAGATATTCATGAAATTACGGGAAGATTAAAATATCTATCTACAAAGGCCTCTCGCGTTGATCGCTTTGATAATCGTCTTAAGATGGAGAGCTGGGTCATCGTATAATTAATATTATTACAATTTCGAAAATGTCACTAAGGAAATGCAGTTCGAGATATCAAGATACAATAGGACGAAGCGCCATCGTACACAGTGGATAGCAAACTTTATTGCGGGTCGGAAGTGACCCAGCTCCGTCTTTTGTCCGACCGTCGAGTCCGTCCCGTCATCGGACGGTTAATTAAAAATAAAATCGACGGTGATACGAACGTGTGCGTAGACTCGAGAGACAGACGATAAACGACAAAGAAAAGTTTTTGTTCGGATCCGCGGACGAATGCTATTGATTAAATGCAAGAGAAACGGATATGCCTCCTTCCGCGCGTCAGTCTGTCGTTTTCAATGGAAATGTATTTCAGGATATCTCTCTGTGCTCGTGCGTTCTTTCCGCGTAGAGTAAACAACAAATAAAAAGGAACGAAAGAAGTTCTTAACGCCATACATTTGCGAAACATCGATCCGAATACGAAATCGTTCCAAGGAATGGAGTTACGTGTTCGCTTAGAACGTCGACGTGAGATCGAAAATAGTGTGGCTGGTTTAAAAAAATATGGTCTACGCCCTCGGGAGCGGACGTCGGAGCTACGATGTCCATTGCTATGCACAGAGACGGAAGAAAATAACACGTTCGCTGCTTTCGCTCGATTCGAAATACAATTATTAATTTCTTCGATGAGTTGCACAGGTTGGGTAATTTTTTTCTCTGAAATGCAATCCCCGAATCACTGTGAACGACCGAAAGCAGCTTACGAATATTTTCGTTCTCCCACCGTGACGATACATGTTGTTAGCTTCGTGGAATTTTAATGACTTAATCCTGCGCAAAAAGTAATATATAGCAATTGTCCTCCACCAAATAATAACGCAACAATTGGTGGCTTCTTTATCTAAAAGATCGAACACACGCGCGAACTAATAAAAAGCCCTGTCGCTTTGTTTTTATCTCTTGTATTCGATTCGATCGATGCAGGGGATCGTAACGGAAACAACCCTTACCGAAGAGTACAAGGGACACGTGCGCTAACTGTTGCAACAGAATTGTACGCGTAGGACGCGAGAGAATTTTTTCTCATAAATATGGGATGGTTTTGGACATAAAATGTTGCATAATATTAAGATGTATTATTCGAAGGATCGATAGTAGTAAGATGTTTCAATTTAATGCACAATTTCGTTTCCAAAAATATTGTTTTAATGAAATTGTTTACATGGGTTGTTTTCGGTTATGACCCACTTAACGACGTTGTTGTTTCGATGCTTTTCGATAGAGAAAGTCTCATTGTACCATGGTAATTTGTAGAAAAGAGGAAAACTTAACGATTAACCAACGTCAATAAAAAATATATTCTTTTCATAACGGATCTCTTGTCTCTCACCCTCCGCATCATGGCCATTAATAATCGCGTCGTAAGTTTCCCTTCCTCGATATCTGTACTTTCCTTATTACAATGTAATACTACTTAAGTAGCTATCTCTGTATTCGTTTAGGCGTATCGATTTGTTTTTCGTCTTCTTTACACAACATTTTTATTATTCTCCATCGCGACACGCCCGTAACATTCGAAATACTATAGATGGTTTAAGTCGCCTCCCTTTTTCCTCAATTTTATTAATTAGAAATACAACGCGTCGCGTTACAAATATGGCTGCCATGTTCACGATTTGTGATGTATAGACTGCGGATCTTTATGCAAAATGAAAATTGTATTTGCGAATCGCAACAACCGTTTATCGGGTAGAAAGTTCTTTCTCTTTTTAACAATTTTAGTAACTTGAAAATAATATAATGACGCTCTTTAAATTCTTTTAATCGGTCTACCGTTTTAAGGTTGACTCGCTCATTTTCGTCATAAATGCATAAAGTCCGTAGTCTAGTGATGTATTTTGGTGTTGTCTCTTCGACGAACCGGAGTCTCACGATTACACCGATTTCACATTACAAATAACGTGTCGTTAGAAAATAGTCATTTTTTTAAAATCGTATATTTCATTATATTGGTTCCGGATAAAAACAATCACGGAGAAATGTTGCCAATCTTTTTTAGAAAGATTTTCTTCGCTTACTTTGTAAAATAAAAATGCATTGACGGTAAAATTACCTCTAGGCCTAGTTCCACTAAACCGTCGAAAGATTTCGATACAAAATTCTTTTTTGGTCGAGTGTTGTAAATGCGCTGACAAAAACTGACTTTACTTCTTTTTTTCTTTTTTAAAAAAGGAATAAAATGCAAGTCGACGATTTTGGCAGTTGGTATAACTTAAGCGATTTGTAGTTATACAAGTACTCGAAAAATTGCTCGCTCGTCTTCTTCTTCTTCTTCTTCTTCTTCTTCTTATTGTTTATATGGCTAACGCTAGTGCCGCGTACAAATCTAAAGATTTTTTTTTAAAACAACTACGATATTATAAACTCTACCTATCGCCGCTGTGTACACGTGTGAGTTCGTTAAGTAAAAACATCTAATTTTATGTTCGTGGCTCTGGCTAGTCAGAGTGATCAAAAATCAGTTTGATCGGAGCGCGGGAACAAATTTGGACGATATCTCTAAGAACCAACTTCTTCAGGCCTGGCCAATGGTGCTTTCGACTTCTCGGTGGTCACCGTGGTTGTTGTCACCTCCAAGTTTGCCAAGTCGGCTGCCCTAATCTGTAATACGATAACCGAGTATTTTACCCTTAATTAATCAATCGTATACAAAATCTACCGACAGTCCTCTGTTAGTTAGAACACAAGCTTCGCTACGTCTACGCAAAAAGATGTTAGTTTTCATGGTAGAAGGAAATCAAAATTTATTAGAAAAATACAGGTAATACTTTCAGCTTTGTAGTCAACTTTTATAAAGTTATGCGAATAGGGTACGGACATTGGGAAAAATAATATCTTTATAATATCTGATGTTATTAAAATTTGCACAAGTGCCATTTGTAATAGGAATTTTATATTAATTAGATACTATTGTGTATTAATATCAAAACTATCCGATCAATGGAAACGGCTGTCTTGAATTCTACAGTTTCAGAGATAAATTCCAAGATTCTGACTTACAAGAGATACACGATTTCGCAGTGAATCAGCGAGAAGCGACAAGACAGCAATTTCGATTGCCCGAGAGTTCTAATATTACCGGATCTAAGAGTGCGAATAGGTGTTATTAGTGTGTTAGCAGCCGACAAATATTTGCTAAGCATTAATCGGTTGAGTTTAAATATCGAGGTAAGGTCCGACACCAATTATTCGCAATAGACTCAGTGCCGTTTGCTGACCTCGACGTTTGGGGGCAGAGTGATGGTAGCGTGTGTCGTTGTTGTCTCGGTACCGCTGCGTATCTCTCTCTCTACTGTGGTGCCTGCGCAATAATAAATAGCACGGAACAAAACGATAACGAAAAGAAATGGTGATGATAACGAAGAAAACGATGCTGGGACAAGATGAATCGAAAGAAGAATAAAGAGAAAACGGAAACAAATTGTTGTAAAGCGATGAAAGACGTAAACAGAAACAATATATCAAGCGGTCGATGAATTATGCGACTTCGATTACGTATACGGATAGGTAACATTGTTCGTGAACCTTCCAAAAATTGTTTAGATTCGTCGACCTAGAAAATATTTCATTAAAAAGTAACATTGAAAGAAACGTGCTCCCGAAGGGAGTTATAACAAAACGATCCCCGTTCGAAAGAAAAAGTTGTAATCGTACATTTATAGACACGGACAACGATGAACCTTGATCGATTTAATTACCACACTTAGTTCATTGGTAATTCGTAGCGACTCGGGAGAGTTAACAACGGTTTGCACTCACTGTTCATTTGTTGGGTTTCGTTCGTTTGACTCGTTTCGACCTCCCCGTTGGCGGTGGTATTGTTCGTCGTCTGAGAAACAACGGTGGTGGTCTTCACGACCAGCGACTGATTCTGCGTGGAAATTTCCGAGGTTCGCGAGGTCACCTCCATCTTAAGTCCTGCAAGACGACTGTGAAGTTCTTCGGAAGACGTCGCGTTTCTGAAAAGGGAGCTGTTACTGCCAATAAAATGGCGAGTACACGGAAACATACATTAGCGGAGCAAAATAAAGTCGTTACGAAGCCAGCTTTTCTGTGCGCGCAGTTAATTTGCGATGGTACGATTTCTCTTAGATACACCGAGGATTGTGCTACATGCTCGCAGATCTATTCTCGATTGCAGCATACTCTTATCATCCAGTTATTTATGCAACGATCTAAGTTTCTTTTCTCACGTATTCTGTGTATCTAAAATTGCTATCTAAAATAGGAGAGAGTTACCTATAAATTGCCTAATTCGAGTCCGTAGTTACTTGTTACTGTCATTAACCCCTTAACGCACAGTGTTTTCTTTTTTTTTAAACCGGCTAAAAAGAATCAATTTTTTTTTGTATGTAAAAAGAACACAATTTAGAACATTGTCTTGGCAAAAAAATTAGAAAAAACAACATCCAACCAAATCCACATCCTCAAAGGTTTCCATTTGTTACCGCCCTTGATTCAACTTTTCTTTCGGTGGAGAATGTTGATATACCGCGCTTTTGTTCCATGGAGAAAGGCTGTATTTTATTCTTGAATAAATAAGCGTTATAGCTTACAATCCCATGTAAACGATAAATATCAATAAAACGATCTTTTTTTCTTTGCTTTCACATTGTTACTTTCAATTCTCGATTATATTCGAGCGTGAAAAATTGAAAGCAGCATAAAACACAACGCCGCTCGAATTATCTCGAGTGTGCACAGTTTGGCCTGTTTAGCGCGCTCGAATTAATTCGAGCGTACAAGTTAACCCCTTGGGTACATTTGACGTCTGAGACACGTCATTCACTTTTTTCCCCTAGGAGCGGATGACGTGTTTAAGACGTCAAACCAAAAAAGACTCTTGGGTACATTTGACGTCTAAGAGACGTCATTTCAGCTTGTATCAGTCATAATAGAAGAGGCAATTACAGTATTTCGGTGAACATTATTTGCGATACACTGCCCCATTATGTCAAAAACAAGGAATATATTTTATGATAGTGATAGCGAAAGTGACTTTGAGAAATCTGAAGAAGAATTGTTTAGTGATCCTGAAATTGACAATTAGACGATATTGAAATAGAAAATGATGACAATTTTAATATAATATCAAGGTTTCGAAGACGCACAAGACGTCTATCGAGCAGTGATAGTGAATCTTCTCGTGAACCAGTATCAGAGGAATGGATTTGGGAAGAAGAAGAAAATGTAGCCGATCTAAAAAGTTTTTCTGAAATATCTCGAATTAATCCTTTGAGCCTGCGTAGACTAGGTGGTAATCCTACGCCTTTAGATGTTTTGAGAGAAGTCTTGAATGAAGATTTTTGGGACACTATAGTAGAAGAGACGAATAGATATGCCAGACAAGTGATAGAAAAAGAAGGTTGTGTAACAAAAAAAAACCAGAGGTGGTTTCCTGTAAGTTCTGATGAAATGCATCTTGATGTCGCAAATGAAGAAGCCGAAAATGCATATGTATTGGTCAAAAAGATATGCAATAAGTACTCCAATTTTTGCCAGCACTATGCCACGCGGTAGGTTTTTTGATATTTCAAGCTTTCTACATTTTACGGGTAATGAAAAGGAAAATAAAGATAACAGAATAAGAAAGATTAGAAATATAGAGTGGATTACCTAAATACTAAATTTTGTTACCTTTATATTCCTGATAGTGAAGTAGCTATTCGATTGAGTTTTATTCAATTTATTGCCTCCAAAAGAGCTCGTTTTGGCATAAAATTTTATAAACTTTGCGAATCTACATCAGGTTATTGTATTCGTTTCAAAATTTATGTTGGCAAGGATAAAATCCAGGGAAGTGATATACCTGCTACTGAGAGTGTAGTCATGGAAGTGGCACAGCCTATTCTAAAGAAAGGTTACACGTTGTATATGGATAATTTTTATTCATCACCACCTTTATTTCTGACGTTACTAAAAAATGATACGAATGCTGTTGGAACTGTTGGGAAAAACAGGAAGAATATGCCAAAGGTGTTTTCTTCAATGAAGTTGAAAAAAGGAGAAGTCAAAACTTTATCCAGTCACGGTTTATTGGCTTTGAAATGGAGAGATAAAAAAGACGTTCACATACTTAGCACGAAACATTCAAATGCTGATTTGATAAACACAGGCAAAAGGAGAAAAAATGAAGGTGGCGATAGCGAAAATATTATAAAACCGGCATTTGTGCTTGAGTATAATAAAGGTATGGGAGGCGTTGATAAACAAGACCAATTGCTAGCGTGCTTCCCAGTTATGAGAAAATGTGTAAAGGGTTATAAGAAAATGTTTTTTTATCTAATAGATATGGTCTTTTATAATGCTCATGTTTTATATTCTAAAATCAATTGCACAACCAAGGCAGGCATTACTGCCTTTCGTTTAGCTATTGCCGAAGAATTGCTGGAGCAATTGTCATTGCCAAATTATAAACGTCGTGGACGTCCGTTAAATAGCGATACATCATTTCGTATGGCAGCGAAAAATTGGGCACACTTTCCTAAGAACATTCCGTCAACTAAGTCCAAGCAACACCCTGGAAAAAGGTGACGTGTTTGTTATAAGCATAATATTAGGAAAGTGTAAACAATGCAAAGTAGCACTGCATTTACCTACTTGCTTTGAAAAATATCACACTCTGCATAATTATTAGTAATTGGTTTTTTGTTATAGCTTGAATTTATTTCATTTAGTTTTATTTTGTTGTTATTAATTTATTTTTGTTTTGCAATTCTAATTACTTGAAGACATCTTAATACTACATATGTCACTAATATTTTAGAAATAAATAAATTCTTACGTAAAATGTACTCCTTTTACATACTACTCCAAGCAACCAAAAATTATATCCATTCCACATGCAAATATTTTCTCAAATAAATCCGTACCCAAGGGGTTAAGGGGTTAAAGTGACTAATATATTTATATGTCAGAAAAATTCATTCGTAACAATGATATCGTATTACTTTTATATCAATGACTCCTAAACTTTCTCTACTTTCTCTGATAAACATTTTTCGATATATTTCAAAGAAATAAGAAAATATTGTTGTGCTTAGAACGATATAGTAATAATAATAATAATAATATTATCTTATAAGGCAGGGGGGATGCTATCTCTCTGGGATGATTCGCCGAGATTTCCATCGAGTTAAAGTAACATTAAAATAACATAAAAGCAACATTGGTAGCGCCAATAAAATCAAACGGTAAGAAGCTAGGCTCGGTGGGGGCGTCTTCACTTACAGTAAATGGTCCTTGACACTATCGATCGTGATATCTCCTATAGAACTCAAGTCTTGACGATCGTCGTCTCCGTTGACGTCGGTGGTGCTCGCTGCCGGTCGTAGGGACGGTTCTTTCGGGGACTCATCGCCACCGGCTAAAAGACAGGCATTCAAGAATGGGTACTAGAGGGTTGCGGTTAGGACACAGCATCTCCCGTTGATGTTAATCAGGGGGGTGTGTGAATTACGATATAGCAGCTAGCTCTCGTTTAATGAATCACATAGATGATCATAGCGAAGCAACACATATAGTGTGAATGTATAGATGTATACACAGGTTACAAAATATGCAAGCGGTTATACGCATATTTTAGTAGTAGCACGTTTAAACATTTTCCTATGATGGTTCGTCGCTTATCTATCGGTTAATTGGATACAAGATCGAAGTGGCCGCGGCGATCAGGGCGTGGTATACTCACTGGAACCGACGATACCATTCTCTGTGATCGTCCTCTGTACCGGCGCGACCGGTTGGCTACCTTGGGTCTCGCCTTCCGTTTCCGCTGCACCCTCCACGACGCCCTGCTCTTGGACTTTCTCGTTGCCGATGGTCTTGTTGGCGTGCGACCTCGCGTTCGGTGGCAGATTCAGCGAACAGTGCATTTTCGACTCGTTATTGGCCGACAGGTTGATCCGTTGAAGCTCCGAGCTCGAATGGAGATACAAAGCTTCGCCAGCTTTCGTAAAGGTCAACGAAGAGATGCCACTGAAACGGTAGCGAAACGACGATGAAGACAGCTGAGAAAGACAGGCGGACGAACATCTGAATACCGAAAAGAACGGCTCACTTAATGTCCTCGCGTTTGATGGCGGCAGCGTTCAGTTGCCTTCTGAACTCCGGAATGCTGAGCACCAAGCAATCCCCAAGGTTGGTCAGACAAAGGAGATAAGTCTCCTCGTGGCTACCGGTCGATTCCGTGGAATAGGTGAACTTCGCGAAGCCGGTTTTCCGCACGCGAGAACCTTCGTGCGCGGTCAGCTTGTATTTACAGAACGGCTTCAACGACGGAAGATTGAAGATTTTGAACTGCTCCTCGCTGGCGATCACTACTCTATGAGGAGAAGTCATGTCCGGTCCGGGACATATGCCTTTCTCGGCCTCGAACGGCTCCGGCAACGGGACGTTCGATCCGTCGAGTATCGTTATCGCGATCACAGGCGCTCGGTGCTTCAATTGAATCTCTTTCCCTAATGTACAATTTACATCCTCCTCCGACCGCCTGGCACCCGCTGGTATCGCTAACGTGAAAACATAGACTGTACCGTTGTTGGTGCCCGCCCATAGCGTGGGGGTGGTGTTCCTCACTGAAAAATATTACCAAATGATGTCTCCGAAAGCACACGCGGCTCTCCATCTTGCGTCTTCGACTTTATATAAATTCCACTTACTGCTGATTATGTAACTCCTAGCAAAGTATAAACATCGAACCATCGAACCAAGGGCGTCGTCTACGGGTCTTGCTTCCACTTGCCTTTCCACGGTTTTCAATTCGACCGGCGATAGCTCGCCGCTTGGAGAAGAAGCGACGCTGGTGCTGTGTCAAAACGAGTGGCGATTAAAAATTCGCGCGATAAGAAAGGAACGATACAATCGACAAGGGGGGGGGGGGAAGCAACGTACATTTCCTTCTTCTCCGGTGGCGCGTTTCTCGTTGGACTTCCGGCGTTCATTCTACGCTGCGATCTTCCTTTCCTCAGTCTCCTGAAGGATTCTCTCAAGGACTTTTTGAAGGACTTTCTTCTAGAGATAGGCGTGTCTCCTGCTCCAGAGAGATCTACGAAACGCGCGTTTTGCACGATAAGATTTTGCCAAGCATTGGGACGACGTAAATTCTGTTTAGGGAAAAGTATAGAGTGTACCGTTTGGATTAAGGGTGCATTTGACAGTGACCGCTTTCGACCTGGTATAATCGAAGACCGCTAAACCATGGGCGGTGCCGGCAGACAACAGGCCCCATTCGCTGTACATGGCCAAGGCGGTGACCGCAGCCGGCGGGTACAGTTGAAGAAGATTTTGCGGTTGGAAACCAACCGCGAAAGATATGCTGGCGGTTCTCACCCGTAGATGATCGTGACCTTTCCAAACGAAACCGTCGCGATCGTTCACGATGTTCATGGTGACGGCATTGATCTCCTTGTTCACCGGCTCGGACGATATGGAAGCTGTGATCACGTGGCCGGCAGTGCCAGCGACCACCAACGTCGACGAGAGCGGACAGAGCAGGACCTTCTTAATCGCGAGCCTCGGATCGTCCGAGTAAGGATCGAAGGTGCCAACCTTTCTGAACGGAGGCCACTCGTCTTCGTCGTCCTCCGGCGGCTGTTCCAGAACGTCCAGGTGCTCCCCGGTGAACAAAATGGACGAATTGTACTTGTACAACGGTGTTAAAGCGACGTCCGACGCGTCCCAGAATCTGACGGTTCCGTCCTCGTGACCGGTCAGCAATAATTCTTTGCCCTTCGGCTTGTCGCCGGCCGCTTTCGGACTCAGAATACCGCCGTCGATCGGCCACGGCTTGTCCGAGTATAGGTGCTCGGTCTGCGCTTTCCCAGCTGCCACGATGCTGTTCCACAGTTCGTCCGGCACGTTTGGAACGTGTTGCGAACAGGTGACCTGAGATAGGAGGACGATCGGTTAGGGCCCCCCGGGGCGCATCGATTACTTTGAACCACGCATAGATTCGGCTAAATAATATTTACAGCGCTCGCGTGAAGGGACACGAGATAAGGCAACGCCATCATCTTCCACTCGGGATGCGTCAGATCGATGGCCACTATTTCCTCTTCGGCCAGAACCACCAAGGCTTCCGGACCGTCCGCGGCGTCTTTGCCGTCCTCCGGGTTCGGAAACACGGTGAAAAAGTCGATCACTTTCGAGGTGAAGTCGAAGACCACGTGCTTCTCTTTGGACATCACGGTGAAAGTGTCGCGTTCACCGTAGCTGGCTCGCTGCATCCCTCCGGAGAACAACACCAGTTCCCCGTGTCTGCAAGAAAAATCTATTGTAAACGAACGATCGGGAACCGGACTAAGTCGTTGTCGTCGACGCGTACTCACTCTTTGGTCGGGTAGACCAGAATTTTGGTGATCGCTTTGCATGGAAACGGCCCGTACGGCGTGGTGGATTCCAGCATGGTATCGCTTCCGGAACTCCAGAACGAGTAGGAGCCGTCGTTGTGCGATGAAACGAAACGGGTCTCAGAGACCCAGTGCACCGATTCCAGCTGTTGCGTGGAGACGAACGTCTGCGCACGCGAAAACAAACCCATCAGCTGCACGTACACGTTCGCCGAAACCACCAAAGACACAACAAACGACAATCAGAACCAACGGTACCACTTCACGTGTCGCGCTTAACCCATCGGGGCACACCTCCTCCTCCTCCTCCTCCTCCTCCCACTCTACCATGGTTGGCTGATCAGCGTTCTCGTACTCTCGGCAATTCGGATTTACGAATCAACGTGAACACCCGCCCCACGGCTCGCAGCACCGGGTGTGTAAATGTGCCGTGAAAGTGCGAGCGATTCGTCGTCGTCTCGGTACGTACGATCGCTGTTAACCCTTTGCCCTACGATTCCAGTTTCAAGAACGCGTGGACGATAACGCAAACAACAACAACAACAACATCAACTCAACAAGTTGTGCCAATCGCGAACTTCTTAATATAAATACAGCGATTCCCGTTAATATTCGGACACTTTTCGAAGTGCAATAACTTTTTTAGAAGTGGACTGAAAGACTTGAATTTGTTTTAGGTGACAGAGCGATAAGATCATACTAGACCATAAGTAGAACGCTTTTTTTTAAAGCTGGTTCCTGCACCACCTCCTTTAGCTACTAATAAAACAATTAGACGACGAAAAACAAACAACCACAAAACACTTATCCCCTGGTCTAACACGAGCCTAACTAGTTGCGTTTACACATATTAGGTCCGACTGACGCGCCACGGCTCTCATTTCTGGCCCGATTTTTGTCCACGTCTCTCAGACGTGTTAATCATTTTTGAACCGGTTTTTTCACCACGTCTCTCAGACGTGGTAATCATTTTTGGCCCGATTTTTGACCACGTCTCTCAGACGTGATAATCATTATTTGACCACGTTTCTCAGACGTGGTTGTAGAGCAACGGGTTAACGGTGCAACGATCTTTCAAGCGCTACCAAGGGGGTGAACATTTTAGTAATGTTAATATCGGAGATCTCATTCCGAGCTGCGTTTCGCATAAACGGGCATGGACTGGTCGTCGACGATTATTAGACGCAGTCGGTCTAATACCGTCTCGAGGTTCGTTAATGAGGCAGTCGTCGGGTTTCCTATTACCTTGATTGTTGTCTATTAAGCGCGGTCTCCGATGAAGGAGCGTCATTAAAACACAATTTTCTCCACCGATGGGTTAAGCGTTTCCCCACAAATATTTTGGTGACACAAGCCATGTGTGTGTGTGCGCGCGCGTGTTGTGTGTGTGTGTGTGTGAGCGCGTATTCGCGTTTACACGCGTGTGTATTACATTTAGGGTTCACTTTGTAAGCGGCGTGGTTACGCTCTCGACGGCGGTAGCATAGTTTCGTGTGTGTACACTGACGGACATGTAAGGAGCTGAGGAAACAATAAGAACGAAGACTCACCTGTTGAGCTCCGGGAGTCACTCTGTTCCATAGAACCATCAAACCGCGATTGTAACCTATCAGAATATTGTCCGGATGACCTGGTTGTTCCGCTATCGCCTCGACCGCTCGCGGATTCATCTTGTAATCATTCGGCACGCTGTCACAGAGAAGAACATGCTAATTTCATACGTTTCAACGTTCAAGCTGCTAGGTTTACAACGCGATCGCAGTCCTGCGAGCCGCAAACGGATCCGAAAATATCAAAGTACGGTAATGTCTCTCTAATTGACGCTCAAATTGTCCACAAAAATGGACAATTTAGGGAAAGGAGATGCGATTATTCGAGCCTTGCGGTTTGGCTTTATAGTTACGAACTGTCGACGACTATAAAAACGAGCTGCAAGGCTCGAATAATCGCATCTCCTCTTCCAAAAATTGACCATTTTTCTGCAGAATCTGAGCGTCGATTAAGGAGACATCACTGTATAGTAATGTCTCTCCAATTGACGCTCCGATTGTCCACAAAAGTGGACAATTTTTGGGAAGAAGAGATACGATTATTCGAGCCTTGCGGTTTATTTTTATAGTTACGAACTGTCGACGACTATAAAAACGAGCTGCACGGCTCGAATAATCGCATCTCCTCTTTCCAAACTGTCCATTTTTCTGCACAATCTGAGCGTCAGTTAGGGAGACATTATTGTATATCGAAATCGTTGCCGAGTCCTTCGAAATTTTAGATGACACGGACAAAATGATAAGACGTTCGATATTTTTGAATCTTTCGCATAATATAGCGAACTATATGAGCCGTTTATTTTGAAAGTGGCATAAGTCACTTTTTCAAAAAGATCGAGTTAATGGTAACACTAATTACAATTGAAAATAAACGGTTCAGTTATGTAATTTATTCAACAATTTTAGTAAATCGCTGTCCTTTCAAAACATCACTTCAGTAAAATACGTCGGACAAAATTAATATATGTCAGTCATTTTTCTAAACTATTTACTTATTCACTTTACCGTAATGAAAAGTGGTGATTTTTTAATGTTTATACGAAATTATTTATACTGAGAAAAATATCAGTATCCTGAGATAACAAATACAAGTAAATCTTCTCGAAAGTTAGCATCCATATTTTTAAACGTGTTAAAACGCAAACCCTTAAATATCTCGACTTCAAAACAAAATGACTTATGCCACTTTTAAAATAAACGGCTCATATCTACATTGTACACACCCTATATATTGGAAATGCCCTCTGAACCGAGCATAGTAAACCTTAAACGTGTATATTATACACGAGTATCGGTAATGTTCTATCATTTTGTCCGATTAAAATCAGCACATTTTTACATTGTTTTCTTTAACTCTTTTCGCGCACGAGATACAAGCTCGAGGTTTATTACGCTCGTCTCTAAGAACATATCTGATACATAAGGTATGTAAAATGTACGCGTATTTTATTTATTATGCGAAACATTCGAAAATGGCAAACGTCCTATCATTTTATCGGACACTGTACCCACCATACGTCTACGCACATTTCATCGAAACATCGCGTGTCGAGGTACAGTAATGTCTCCCTTACAGACGCTCGGATCGTCCACTAAAATGGACAATTTGGGAAGAGGAGATACGATTATTCGTGCCTCGCGGCTCGTTTTTATAATTGTGCCGCGAGGCTCGAATAATCGTGTCTCCTCTTCCCAAATCGTCCATTTTTCTGCAGAATCTGTGCGCGTGGATTAGAGAGACATTACTGTACACCGCGGCCGAAGATCTCGCAAGAATTTGCGTAGTGCTATTTTCCAGTGAAACCGCGATTGTTTCTTCGACCGTTTTAATTCGTACACCCTCGAGATGTTCTCGAAGGTCCGTCTCCCTTTCTCCGAGAGTTCTACCTTGAAATTTTTCTACGCGAACAAACGATGGTTTTGTTCTCGTGGAAACGGGAAGCGCGTTGCAAACGGCGGTAAACAGCTGCGAGAGCATTCGAGATAGTCGAAGGCGCTGAAAATTAGACAGGTGTTCCTTCTTACTTTTGTATAACGACCTCCTGGTAGATGATGTTGTCGGACGTCGTGAACGTCTTCATGTTCAAGAGGTAGATGTTGCCACCCTCGGTGCCCAGAAGCAGGTTCTCGCCGCTCGATTCCAAGCACAGCGCGGAGACTTTGAATTTGCCCTCCAACGAGAACGACGCCGTCTCGATGATCGAGCTCTCGTCGATCTCCCACATGTGCACGGACTTGTCCAACAGTGTAACCAGTCGACCCTGTTTTCACGAATGGAAAATCCTCTGTTAACCGGGACTCGCAAGGCTCGATCTCCCGTTTCCCCCCGCAGGAGAAATCTTGATTTCGTTCGCGCGCGAGCTTCCAATTTAATCCGAATCGCAGTTTTCGATTTCTCGGGGCGGGAAGATCGATCGCAACGACACCGTTTTGTTTCGCTTTAAATCAATTTTTTATATACGATCCTCCTCGCTCCAAATATTACGGAATTATTATGGGGACTCCAATTATTATGGAAAATGATATTATAATACTGGATGCAATAAATACGTACATTATATATCGTACTACACATTTATACAGCGTACCGAAGCCTGGCGTTATTTTTCGACGTACAGTCGCCTCGGAAAGTACGTTACGAAAGCCTTTTCAAACGGAATAACTTTTTTAAGATTGGTTCGAAGAATTTGAATGTTTTTCAGATGTCAGACCAACTAGTTTTCTATGCTAATACCAGTTTCAGTATGCGTATGAATTACCGTGTTCTACGAAATGCATCTTTTTCAATCTTTCTTCTTAACAATGTTTGAATTTTTCTTATCGTTCCGATTGCAATCTAAACAAACCTTTTTGCATACTCATTTCGTAGAAACCTAGTCGGTGCAACGTCTCAAGAATATTCGAGTCGTTCGAAACAATTTTTCAGAAAAGTTATTCCGTTCGGAAAGGCTTTACAGTATACAGGGACTGTATACAGGGTGTCGCGGTAACTCTGTTACAAAGCGATATCTCCGTTATCGTTAACGATACGCGGAAATGCTTGAGGAACAAATTGTTTGGTTCGAAGGGGCACGTGTTGCGGTGGAAATCATTTTTTTCGTAAAGATCATATTTTTTGAGATTTCAAGGTCATCGATGTTTTTTCGAATGGAATTACATATTTCTATCGTTGTATCGTGATATCTACGATCAAGACGAATCTAATAACCTATAATACCATGACCTTCGTGCGTCTTTGGGTACGAAAAATAAAGAAATTTTTAGACATTATACAGGGTGTCCCAAAAATGTCTCGCAATCCGAAAGTAGGGGATTCCTGAGGTCATTCGAAGCAACTGTTTCCTTAGCGAAAATGCAATCCGCGGATTCGTTTACGAGTTATTAACGAAAAACAGTGACCAATCAGAGGCGAGATCATTTGACGCGTGACGGCCGAGCCAATGAGCGGAACCGGGCTCCGTGCACTCGTTGGGCTGGACCACCGCGCGCCAGCCGAGCTCGCCTCTTATTGGTCAGTGTTTTTCGTTAATAACTCGTAAACGAAGCCTCGGAGAAAATTGTCGCAAAGGAAAATGTTGCTTCGAATGACCTCAGGAACCTCCCATTCCCGGATTGCGAGACATTTTCGGGACACCCTGTATAGAAGCTTTCTACTCCGTCGCGATTTTACAGGATTTCATACTGTGTAGAACGTAGAACGAACGATGGTCCGATTAGAGGCTCGAAGAATTCGACGGTTAGCGTGGAAACGAAGGCTAGCCGGCTAGCGCCGGCGATCGTAGAAAATTCTTTTCTATCGCGGCATGCATACGATATATGCACATATGTATATGTATAAATAATCGCGCGAACTATTGTGCGGCGAGCGGTTTTCGCAATTCCGTGATTTCTCACGAGCCAACTCCCGCGTCCCTCTTTCTTTTTAGCAAGGCGGCGATCCGTCGCGACGCACAGTGGTATAAAAGCTCGAAATCATGGTCAAAATAAGAAATAGTGACGGATTTATTTGAAAATTTGTATGCAAAGGCTTTCGTGGTCGCCGATTGCGAATCTGAATTGCGAATCTATTATTGAATTATTGAAGTTATTAAACTATTATATTAGATTATTAATTAATTATTATGATTATTATAAATTAAATAAATAATTATTGATTCATTAGTAAACTATTCGAGTTTTCTTTAATAATAAGGAACACTTCTTTCCTAGTTAAACAGTATCGTCGCGAGATCCTGAAAATAGAAAAGCAAAAATTGAAACATTTTTTTCAATCTAACAAATTTCATTCTTTTCAAAATAATTTTCGACATTGCTTGATAAAGTGTTTTTTCTAACGTCTCGAAACAATGCAAGCAATTCGGCACGATTCGTAGAAAGTTATTCCGTCTTGGATACTCTCGCGAGGCAGTTTCCCGTACGTTGACTCGCACAAATGTTTGTAGCTGAAAAAAGTGCAACGCGATGCAGCCAATATTTTAAGCGCAGCTGGACGAAACTATAAACTATGGCTCCGGTAAGTTCGAAAGCAGGCCCTCGTAAGCCTAACGTATAGTCGTTTCGACTATAACTTTACGGTAAACGCGTTCCATTTGCTCTTATAATTTGAATCTACGATTTATCGATTTACCAATGTAACAGTTAACGATTCGTGAGACGTTAGCGGTACGAAATGTTGTACTTATCACCGGGAACGATATCCATTTTACACGATTGAGAAAAAAACATTTCCACAAAAAGATACGCGCTTTAAACAATCCGCTTCGTACCGTCGGTCATGCTCGCGAGTAACGACTGCCCGACAAACTCGAAATTCGAAGTGCAATTGTCATTCGGGTATGAAAGTATGGGTCATTTCGTTTTTTCCCACCGCACGGACGCATCATTCAAACTAACCGATCCGTAAGTCAAAAACTCCTCGACGACAACTTCGATTTTTAGGATTTCGGCCATGATTTCAGGCTTTTATACCACTGTGCGACGCGAAGATGGGACGACGGGCCGAGTGAAAACTCGAGGAAAACACCGAGCGCCTCCGTGTTTCCTTACTTTCACGCGGATCGGCTGTTCTTTCGCGAGCGGTTTCCGCTCCGTGGAAAATGCCTCTCGGGAGCTCTCGCGTTATTAACGCGTGCAGTTAAACGGTTTTGATTGCGGTCAGGAAAATATTCTCTTCTCTTCTCTTCTGTTCTAATTCTGCGGTCGATGCGTCTCGTTGCTCGCCGAGACACTCGAGGCCTCGTGAACTTTCCAACTTCGAGATGAACCTTAATTAACGCGATTAGCAGGATTGCGAATCTGTTCGCGATATCAATCCTAGAGAACAATCTTGTTACTATTTCATAATTTCTATTTCCTATTGCTGCGATATCGACTCTCCGAGTCGCGTGAGCCCGCTGGTCGACTCGAAAATATGTCCGTCGAACAAGGTTGTCTCGTTATCCTGATTTCGATTAAATCGTCCGCAGCAAAAATAGCATTAGCGCGCTCTGGTAATAGCTAAATAGTTTCGTGAACGTACCGTGTAGTATTCGAGCGGTATTTAGTTGCATGGACGACGACGCGGCTCGCGGTCCGATAATCGTAAAAGTTCCCCCTATCTAGTCTCGTTTGATTCTGTCGCGATGAGATTATAATCGTGTGGGACTCGTTATCTTATCGGTCTTACAATTCTCTAGAGTCGCAAGATAAAAACGAGGCCTACGTGTCTCGTAATGCGGCGACTAAAGGGCTTCGATTTAATCGTGCCAATTAATTCTCGATTCGGTGTGACGATAGTAGATATTTTGAGAAACGACGAGCGAATGAACCCGCATGAATCACCACCGTTCCGCCGCTCCATTTTCTTTCATTTCTTCTGGCAGACGAATTTAAGAATTCTCTTTGCTCGTTCCGCACCAAATACAGTAATGTCTCCCTAATTGACGCTCAGGTTGTCCACAAAAATGGACAATTTAGGAAGAGAAGATACGATTATTCGAGCCTTACGGTTCGCTTTCATAGTTACGAATTGTCAACAATTATAAAAACGAGCTACAAAGCTCGAACAATATCGTATCTCCTCTTCTCTAAATTGTCCACTTTTTATTACAAGCTTAACCCTTTAAGCGCTACGAACCCATATACGTGTTCTCGCGCAACCATTCGATTTTGGCTACGAACCCATATATGCGTTTTCGCATAACCGTTCGATTTTGGTTCGAAAACCAAAGCGTGTAGCGGACTACGATGCCTCGATGGGCGCGGTTGATAAAATCGATACGATTTTGAGTTCGCTTCGCCGCGTTCGAAAAAGCACAAAATGGTGTAACAAATATTTCTTCCACCTCTTAGACCTCGCTATATACAATGCGTATATTCTTTATAAAAATGCTAACAATAAAACTGACGCGTTCGAAAAATTTCATCCGCTTCTCGTGAAAGATATTTTGCGTGAATACCCACCGCATAGAGTAGAGGCTAAAGGAGGAAGAGTTCGTTCGAACGACTTTGCGTTTCGGTCAACGGGGAGGCATTTCCCTGCATCCTGCGTAACTAAAGAAAATAAAAAAACATTCTTCGCGACGCGGATGCGCTGTTTGCGCTAAAAATAATCGCGGAACCGACTCGCGTTACGAACGCAAAAAATGTAACATCGGCTTACGTATCGAACCCTGCTTCGAGATTTACCACGCGATACAAAATTATGAAATTTTCAATTTAAAGGATATAATCTCGGCGCTCAAAGGGTTAAGGACCATTGGGTAGAATTTACTGTACCGCGGATTCTGTAACAAAATTTGATCGACCGGCGGTGCAGCGTCTGAAAAGCATGGCCCAGGCAGCATACTTGGCCTTTACTATCGGAGTCCCAAATGTCACAATGGGGGTTCGCTGCGTCCGTGTATTATTTACCACGCGCTCGCGTGCACGAAACGCACCGCGCGTGTCGTAGTCGTACACACGGTTACGCAACTGAACACTGCGCGGCGACAGCCAAGCCGAACACGGTGTCGCATTACCGGTGCGACTTTTAAAAAACAATCGTAACTTCGCGCATCCGTCTCTTTGGCTGGAATGGTCCCCGACGCGTCGGTAAATTCGACACTTTTTACGGAGGAGAAAGTTGTACAAAATATCGAGCGGTACTATACAACATTCACCCCCGTCCAAAAGTATTGAGACACCTGTGCTTATTTAGTATAAATTGTAATATTCTCGGTTTAGGCGATGTCACCGGGTCTGCGATATTGCATCGTATCGTCGGCAGGACGTATTAACCCTTTGCACTCGGATATCGTCGATACGGCGACACGATATATGTATTTACATAGAAGCGGCGTTTTCGTAATGCAAACTAATCGCGTAAAATGCACGGAGAAAAACGCGAGACCTTTTATTTATTGGCTTCTATGAAATTTCCCCGTAGAACGAAATCACAATTTTGCAAAATCTGTTCCCGAATGCAACGGGTTAAATTACAAGTGTTTGTCACTTGTGCAATTATATTACCCATTTTTACCTATTATTGCATTTTGTTCGCTGAAATCGACACGAGGATAACACCGACGATGTACCAGAAATAATAGAAAAACTAATAAAACGGATGCCGGAAATTGGTCCAAGAAGTAATTGAAAATGCGCTGCACGCATCGAGAGAAAGAAAATTGAATTTTCTTTCATAAAATCGACGTTACTTTTATTACATCGTAAAATATATGTCTATGTACTTGTTGCAGTTCGATATAATTTAACTTTGAAATAAATTTAAAAAAATTATAAAAATTTCGCATCGGCTTTTCGCATGTAGCTAATTTTCTGCGAGTGTCCTGATACTTTTGGAAAGGCGTGTACGTGTTCGAAATTCAATATTCGTCGAAATCGGACCCGGAGAGACGTTACCTTCGAAATAATTAGCTTTGGTAGAGCGCGGACCGAGTTGCATCGATCTTCTCGTTAACCCTTTCGGTACGAGCGCCGGATATATCCGGCATCCATCTGGTCGCCGGTGTGGCCGAGCGCCGGATATATAGGGTGTTCCAAAATTATGGTATTTCCGGGAAAAGAGGGGTTCCCGAGATCGTTCGAAGCAACTTTTTCCTTAGCGAAAATATTCTACGAGGCTTCGTTCACGAATTAGCGACGAAACACAGTGATCAATGAGAGGCGAGCTCGATCGGCGCGAGGTGGCCGAACCAACGAGCGCGCGAAGCCCGGATCCGCCGATTGGCTCGGCTGCCTTGCGCCAACCGAGCACGTCTTCGATTGGTCAGTGTTTTTCATTAATAACTCGTGAACGAAGCATCGTAGAACATTTTCGCTGAGGAAGAAGTTGCTACAAATTACCCCGAGAATCCCTCATATCCCGGAAATGCCATAATTTTGGGACACCCTGTATACCGGCATCCATCCGATGACCGGTACGGACAAGCGCCGAATACATCTGGCATTCGTGCGAGCCATATTTCTGACGTATTAGAAATTATTCTAATAAAGTCTTTTCTTACAAGAATTCTGAAAAAACAGCTACAGATATAATCGTCGTTCGATCCGAATTGATTTACAAAATTTGAGGTTACATTTTTCATCGAAACTTGTTCATAGATGTGAACATATCGTAGGCCCTTTACAGCATGTTTACAGGAAACGAAAGATTTAGAAACGGATTAAGCACAGTTATTACTTAAGAAAATCTTCGTACAAAAGTGGACCGACCCACTGTGCTGTGCGCGCATTTTCGGCGCGGCACCCCGTACAGTGGGAGTGTCACGGCTGACAGCGCGCTCGTACCGAAAGGGTTGAACCACGAACGGTTCTCCGGCGGGAAAACTCACCTGATTGGGAACGGCGACGATTCTCTTGATAGCCCTCTCCCCGCTGTCGATGTGCTGGCCGTAGAACTCGACACCCGGCCTGCCGAATCTGCGAGCGTGATCTAGTCAAGGAAAACGGTGTGAACAGAAAGTAAACATCCGTCTCGGTCTGGAAAACGTGGCGAGTCCCGGATTACCAGCCGGACAGATGAACAAACAGCGGTCTTGTTACGAAAATGACCGACTTAACGCGCTGACCGAGGCGTTTGTGCTCGGCGCTGCTCGCCGAGCGGGCCGAGGAATGCGCGCAACGATCCTGCGCCGTTGTCGAATTCTGCGCAAATACCTGCACCAATTTCTATCTTCTTCAGCTTTTTCTCTAACCGAACGTGAAGAGAAAAATAAAAGCTTCCCAGACGGACGCGGAGAGCCAGGACGTCTGCCGACGCAAAGAAGCGGGGACGTTTATTGCTAGCATTGCGAAACGATAATGATCTCCTGATTACGTAGCGGCTGGAACATCTGCCATCGTAGTCCATGTAAAATTGTGCGACTGGCTGAAGAAACGGCTTCTCGCGTCGATTGTGCTAGACGCAGGTACATACTGCGCGCTGCTAATTAGCATTTTCTTTTCGCGTTCGATTCTACCGCACTTGAAAACTGCTCGGCGAAGTCGATAAGTTGGGGGGGGGGGTCAGCAGGCACTGCCGCGAGTCCTCGGATTGCTGCCGCAGCAGCATTCAGGCTGGTCATGCCACACGATTCGAAGTTCGGAAATCAAAAGTCTTAATTAATTATTCGATAGTTTGCTGTTCGATGACGGAACGTTTACGACGACGTTATTTCTTTGATAGCGCTAGCGCCGTAACCTCGGCTGGCAACACAGAAATTTCCTAGGTTATGTCCCCTTTCTCTCTTTCTGCCTCTCCCTCTAAAAAAACATGGTTAAAATCAAAGCAAAATGAAAATGCATCGACTGCCGAACAGCAGCTCGAAATCCGTTTCGCCGACGCGTTTCTGTCGCAAACGCGTAAAAGCCGCAGTATAATTAAGACCATTTTAGACCGCAACGGTCACGCGAACTCGTCGTCGCTCTTCTAAGGTCCGCAGTCTAGGATCGTGGAGCGACTGGTCGAGGTTATCGATTGGATCGTCGTTTCCACAAGGTCCGAGAGAAACTGTTCCCGATGTTGAAGAAAACAGAGGTCGACCCCTGCGAGGATGATCGCGCCGACGAAAAATGTTTATGAAACGTTTCATCGGACGAAACGCGATCCGGCAAAACAAACGAAGAACAGATGGGAGGGTTGAATAGACTCTTTCCGTGGAATCGATAGGGTGAGCCACGGACGAACTGGGTAACGAGGTGCAGCAATGTCTCCCTATCTGTCGCCGGGACCGAATTCTAAAATGTCGAGAGTAGTACGCGGCAATTGATTTCTTCGAGCCTCGCGGCTCGTCTTTATTGTTGCCGACACCTCGTGAGAGGGAGAGAGATAGACCGAAACTGGAGTCGAGCGAAACTATGTTGTATACTATGTATGCAAGGCGGCGGTCAGCATCGGAAACAGCCGGTGTACAACATTGTAACGATAGAATAAAAACGATGACTTAACTTTTTTTATTTCTAATTTTTTATACATGAAAATTTTTTTAATATATCGGTCACATTTTTCCAATTAAAATGATACCAAACACGACACGCTTTAGACCATTCTCATTCGTAATACGTGATAAGTAACTTATTTTATTTGCGAAAAAAGCATTGCAAAAATCGATTTTTAACATATGAAATATTAAAGGCAAGGTCGAAGAAGGTATGTACGTATGTTTTTCGAAAGAAAATATCACCAAAGTTACGCTATTCGAGTCTACGTTAGACACCGGGAATAGGAAACTTTACACGGATGGGAGACAGAAGGAAACGAAGAGACGGCCGAGAACGGCCACTACGTGTTCCATGTTTGAAATTTGCTGGGACGGGAGAAGCGACATCATTTTGAGGACGAGCCTACGCGTGGAGGCTGCAAAGGAACTGTTTTCTGTACATTTTCCATCGACCCTGGAATTTTAAGATGTCGAACATCGAGAAAGAACATGACATTTAGTCAATTTGAATATGAATTATTTACAAATTAATTTGTTTTTACATTATTTGTTACAACATCGGTAAAGTCGACAACTTTGCCTAAACTCTTTTCCACCACACAGCACGTGCATCTTGGCAGTAAATTACGTGCAAAGTCTATCGTCTTTGATTTCGTCGACAGAAATATCTGTCCAAACTATATCGTGTTTGGTCTCATTTTAATCGGAAAGCTATCAGCAATATGTTAAAAAAAAGATCAGTGTTAAAATGTTAAAATTAAAAAAAGTTATGTCATTGTATTATGAGTTGTCTTCCGGGAATTCGAGTCGAATGAGCCGCGGCGCGTGCCGCAGCACACGTGTTCACCAACACCATCGAACTTTAGCATAACGAGAAAATCGATGAATTAAAGGGCCGCGAGAAAATCGATAAATTACAGGGCCGTGGCAATATCTCGGCGTCGGGATTGGCATACTCGAGTTACGCCGAGAAGAGAGACATTACTGTAACAGCAACACGTTTTCCGGCAAGTGCGAGCACACTCCGGGCTCCCCGAAGCGTTTCGTCATATCGATCAACCGCCGTCGAACATCTGTTCGACGAGCCGATAAAAGTTTCGAATCGGCCGACCAGAGTCCGCGCGTTTCGTTTACAGCCGCACTCTTTCCGTTCGCCGCGTTCGCGCGATATGAAATTAATACGTTCCACGCCGGTTCTAAGAACGGTTTACGGCCTCCTCCGCGGAGCCTGACTCCCGTCGGACCAAAACCAGAAACCGGTCATGGGTTAGGCCTCGTCGGGGAGTCGCGCCATGCCATACCATGCCACGCCGTCCAGTTCGAGCAACGATGAAACGCAAGTGCAAATTTATCGACGCTGGTTCGTGCCCGTTCGAAAGCGAGATCCATAGGAAATTGTTAATTAGGTGCTGCGAGCCATCCGGCTTTTCCCACGCTCGCACTCGGGTTAATTTCGGTGGGACACTCGAACTCTCTGGGTCTAGGAGATACACTCGCGATACCTCTTGGTATTTTTAGTTCCTAATTTATTCCGGAGACTCGTGCCCCCTTTGATCAACGCGCTTGGAACCGAGACTCGCGTTCGGCTACCTGCTGATCTTCCTAAGAAAGCAAGAACGCGCCCGACTTATCTCCAGGCCCCCGATGCTCCTCGGCTCTTTTATCGACCGATGGTCGCACGTTTTCGGAACCTCTTGATATTCCTAGGCTTTCGTACAGCTTCGAACTTTTCTACAGGGTGTCCCAAAAATGTCTCGCAATCCAAAAGTGGCGGGTTCCTCGGGTCATTGGAAACAATTTTCTCCTTTAGAAAAATTTTCTCCGAGGCACCGTTATCGAGTTATTAACGAAAAACAGTGACCAATAAGAGGCGAGCTCGGCTGGCGCGAGACAACCGAGCCAATGAGCGGAATTGGGCTTCGCGCGCTGGTTGGCTGGGCCGCCTCGCGTCGGCCGTACTCGATTCTTATTGGTCACTGTTTTTCGTTGATAACTCGATAACGGTGCCTCGGAGAAAATTTTTGTAAAGGAAGAAGTTGCTTCGAATGATCCGAGGAACCCGCCGTTTCCGGATTGCGAGACATTTTTTGGACACCCTGTAGTTAGCTTCTTTCGATAGCTAGGATCTCCGCGGCCGATCGCAGCATTTTTGCTCGGAACACGCGCCCCGGTCAACCGAGAGGGAAATCGTTGCTAAAGCCGATTTACACTCGGCGGACAGCACGGGGACGAATTGCTGGCAAGAACAGCATGTCGATGCTGGTAAGTGTCTTAAAAACTTAGGCGAAACCTTGGGAGGACAGCGCGTAAACGCGTTTTAAACGGAATCCATCGTCATCCAATAAGCTCCGAGAGACTCTAGGAAGAATCGATGGGTAAAAATGGACAGAACGGCGAATCGCGAGTGCGTATTGTGCGAGCGGCTACTAAAATTAGAAGCGACGCGACGCTGCGCTGAGCGACGGAGCAAGTGAGACGGAGATGGCGGCGGCTCGAAGCTCGAAGGAACCGACGTCAATCACGGTTTCTCGTTTCCCTTCGGCCTTGCCGGTTTTCGACGATTTATCGGCAGATACGACACACGGGCGAACGTCATCGGGCATCGGCGATCCGCCCGAGACCAGATTATAAATACAGACAGGAAAAAACGAGACACGGCTCGGAGCCGTGTGGAACAAGACGAGACGAGACGAGAAGCAAAAGGATACACCTTGATGGCGCCGGATGCCGTGCCGATCATCATCAGCCGCAATATCGGGTCCCAGGCGAGGGCCGTCGGATTGTTTGGAAAGCCATGCTGCAGCGTCTGCGAACAAAAATAAAACAACGTTTATCACTCGGAGCCACCGGCGGCCATTAGACCGTACACATATACAGGGTGTCCCAAAAATGTCTCGCAATCCGGAAATGGCGGGTTCCTCGGATCATTCGAAGCAACTTCTTCCTTTAAAAAAAATGTTCTCCGAGGCACCGTTAACGAGTTATCAACGAAAAACAGCGACCAATAAGAATCGAGTACGGCCGACGCGAGGCGGCCCAGCCAACCAGCGCGCGAAGCCCAGTTCCGCTCATTGGCTCGGTCGCCGCGCGCCAGCCGAGTTCGCCTCTCATTGGTCACTGCTTTTCGTTGATAACTCGTTAACGGTGCCTCGGAGAAAATTTTTGTAAAGGAAAAAGTTGCTTCGAACGACCCGAAGAACCCGCCACTTTCGGATTGCGAGACATTTTTGGGACACCCTGTACATACGAATTGGAATACGTAGTACTCGGTTCTGGAACTTGGATCTATGCGGATCGAGTATCCGAGTACACGATTAAAGCAATCGGGTGATTCCCGACGAACAAAATATTAGGATGAGAATTTTTCAATCGGGATAAGGAATCACCGCGTGCCCTGCACTTGGACGTTCGACACCCTGTACATATCAACTAACGCGCCATCGCTCGGATGGCACTCGATTATGTGTTTCAACTTCGACTTCGTCGTTCGAACGTGCGCGCCGAAAGAGAACACGGTTCTCTTTCTGTTCTCGATGCTGGGCTGCTTATCTGTCGCGGCGCATTCTAATCTTTTGGATTACTGGATAAAAAAGCGTTTATCGGGTTTCACGGAGAGGGGGAGGGGGGAGGGGATATAAAATGTATTTATAGCGGAAACGATTTTTCAATTTGTATTCTTTCACGTCTGCGATCCGACGGCGCGAGTAATTAAAGAAATGTTTGGTAAAAGACAACCGAGTTTGCACCGCGTTGAACGTGTAACCGTCTATCATGTTACTCGAGGGTGAAATTTTATCCCTCGCTGTCCGGGACACTCGGGCATCTCGCAACAGAGATTCGAGACGGACGGATCTTGCAAAAATATTTCGTTGCCGAGGATTAATCCGGCGGTACAGGCGACCGTATTTTCGAACGATTTTCACGACGATTCGTTCGTAATCGGAGATGGTTGGAATTTTTCTCGCGCGTTCGAATGGCTACGTGACAGCTGTATGTATACAGGGTGTCCCAAAAATGTCTATCTATCCGAAAATGGGGGGGTTTCCCAAGGTGATTCGAAGTAACTTCTCCTCAGCGAAAACGCAATCCGAGGCTTCGTTTACGAGATATGGACGAAAAAGCCTGACCAATAAGAGGCGAGCTCGGCTGGCGCGAGGCGGCTTAGCCAACGACCGAGCGAAGCTCCATTTCCGCCAATCGGTTCGACCGCCTCGCGTCAGCCAATCTCGCCTCTCATTGGTCACCGTTTATCGCGAATAACTCGTAAACGAAGCCTCGTAGAATATTTTCGCCGAGGAAAAAGTTACTTCCAACGACCCGAGGAATCCCTCGTTTCACGCTTGTACAATAATTTTCGAGCCGCGTGTGGCTCGAATAATCCTCCTCTCCCGAAATTGTCCATTATTGTGCGCGATCCGAGCGCGAATTAGGAAGAATTTACTGTACTTCGCAATATGTGCTTGGCAACGGCGGTTTCATTTCCTGGACAACGCCGAAACAATCGAGGAGCGGAGAGATTATTCGGACATCCGAAGAATATCCCGCGGATTCGACGCGCTTCCGGTAAAAGATTAATAAATATGCGATAGAACGCGTTCGAGATAATACTCGTAGAAGAAAAAAACAATTTCCCGGCAGCAGATTAGCCCGCTTTGCGCGATAAAGAGAATTTTCGAACAGAGATCCGTCGATCGACGAACGATTCGCAAAGGTTGAAACGCGAAGTTCCACCGATTGGCTCCGCCGTCTCGCGCCAACCGATCCCGTCTCTCATTGGTCACCGCTCTTTTCGTTAATATCTCGTAAACGAAGCCGCGGATCGCATTCTCGCTAAGAATGAAGTTACTTCGAGCAACCTCGGAAATCCATTATTTCCGGATTGCGAGACATTTTTGGAACGCCCTGTATATGTATGCGCGCATATGGAACGCGAGGAAGCGTATACAGGGTGTCTCGAAAATGTCTCGCAATCCGGAAATGGGAGGTTCCTGAGGTCGTTCGTAGCAACTTTTTCCTTTACGACAATTTTCTCCGAGGCTTCGTTTACGAGTTATTTACGAAAAACACTGACCAATAAGAGGCGAGCTCGGCTGGCGCGCGGCAGCCCAGCCAACGACTGTACGGAGCCCGGTTCCGCTCATTGGCTCGGCCGTCTCGCGTCAAATGATCTCGCCTCTGATTGGCCACTGTTTTTCGTTAATAACTCGTAAACGAAGCCTCGGATTGCATTTTCGCTAAGGAAGAAGTTGCTTCAAATAATTTTTGGGACACCCTGTATATCGTCGGAAATCGTTTTTGGTTCTCAGCCTCGTTGTACGAGGTCGGCGAAACAAACGATTAACCGAATTCAATTTTGTAACGTACGAGCATCGAAAGCGCGAAACTGCGTAAAGAACCGCGGCCTAGCGATAACAATTTATTGGATCGATCGCGTGAACGGTTTTATCGAACAGAACGAGCCGTAGATTCGTGCAAGGTAACCGCCCTTTCGTTCGATCGCGCGCGCACGCGCGCCCGATGGGTCGATCCGAGGTGAATGAAGCAGAGTATTCGATTCATGAATCGGATCCGTCTCGTAATAATTCATCCGGACGCGGTAATCGACGCACTATTTATACGAGAAACTCTCGCTAAAAATAGTCCACGTATCTGTGTATCCGTTGTTGCGAGCACGGTCTCGCGTACATGAAAAACTTTCATTCACGGCGCGTATCAATTTACCGGGGGACCTGGACGGCCGTGAGAAAAGGCTGTCTCGTAAAAAGGACTAGGATCTTTGCTCGAGATAAGTCTGTCGCCTTTGCGCTGATAACGTTACCGGCGACGATATCACCATTGTTTCCAAGACTTCGGTTTCTAAAGCGGACGATCGATCGATTGCTCGCTCGCTCGCTCGCTCGCTGGTTCGTTTATTCGCTCGGAGTCTTCCAAATTTCGTCCGATAAATTTTTCACTTAACCGAACCTTCGAAGAGCGCAACTGGCTTCACGAGGCATTTTCGTTCGAACGCAACCGATCGATTTTTTTCACCGTCACGACGAAGATCCGCGGCGTTCGTTTGGATGTGATACGCGCAGGCGTGCGATAAATATAAATTGACTTTTTCCAGCAGGATATTTTCAATGAGAAACAAATTAACCCTTTGCACTCGAAGCCGTTTTAACTGTAAATCTACAATAATTTTCCTGAATTATAGGATTCCTCCATTTTACGGGACAAAGTGCTTTTCGCGCTTACAAAATTGAATCTCGCGATTCGCGCTACGGTTACGCTTTCGTCAACATTTAAAATCTGAACTTCGATGATACAAAAATTATCGTAGAACATGATATAATAATTCTAGCGGTGCCTCGGAGTCACTGCTCGACTACGAAGGGTTAAGAAGTATCAAAAAATATATAGAAATTTATGTGCCCACGAATTTCGTCTGTTTTCGATCGCATTGAAATTCATAGTTTTTGAATCGTGCAATTCGTGTTTCGAATACGCACATTTAACCTTTGAGCGTGCGCCATGGATCGCCCACTCGGTACGAAAAAGCCTACCGTGGGCTGCGTACTTTTTACGAAAGAGCGCAACTTGAGCAGACCGAATTGTCATTGCAAGGTACATCGATTGAAACCGAAATAAATTATGCGGTGATCTCGAAAGCCTGGATAACCGTTTATTTCATCGAGTAACGATAACACGAACGATACAACAGCGGTAAATTATATCTTTTAAATTGAAAATTTCATAATTTTGTATCGAGTGACAAATCTCGAAGCAGGGTTCGATACGTATGTCGATGTTACATATTTTTGCGTTTGTAACGCGAGTCGGTTCCGCGATTATTTTTAGCGCAAACAGCGCATCCGCGTCGCGAAGAATGTTTTTTTTATTTTCTTTAGTTACGCGGGATGCAGGGAAATGCCTCTCCGTTGACCGAAACGGAAAGTCGTTCGAACGAACTCTTCTTCCTTTAGCCTCTACTCTATGCGGTGGGTATTCTCGCAAAATATCTTTCACGAGAAGCGGTTGAAATTTTTCAAACGCGTCAGTTTTATTGTTAGCATTTTTATAAAGAATATACGCATTGTATATAGCGAGGGCTAAGAGGTGGAAGAAATATTTGTTATACCATTTTGTGCTTTTTCGAACGCGGCGAATCGAACTCAAAATCGTATCGATTTCATCAACCGCGCCCATCGAGGCATCGTAGTCCGCTACACGCTTTGGTTTTCGAACCAAAATCGAACGGTTATGCGAAAACGCATACATGGGTTCGTAGCCAAAATCGAATGGTTGCGCGAGAACGCGTATACGGATTCGTAGCGCTTAAAGGGTTAACCGGTGATCGATGTTGGTCGTTTCGGCACAAAGGCAAGACATCGTGGCGTTTTCTGTTGGGTTTCGGTTAAAACAGCACGCGCCACGCGTGTCCGACGCCCCAGGGGTTGAAGAAGAAAAGAAACGGACGCTTGTAGTTTTAAATGGGCTACGAGGCGTGCTTAATCGAGGCAAACGGCAAGAGACAGGCTAACGATCGCGACGCTTCCCTTCCGCGACTCGTTACGAATGCAATTAACAGTAATTACGGGCATCATCCGTTTCCGACTTTCCCGAGGCGCCGCGTAACGTACGCTCGACGCCGATTTTTGAGCGAATCGCCCGCGGTATTAGTCACCGATGAGTCAGATACGACGACGTTGGTTCCCGTTAATCGAGCGGTTCGGCAGAACGATGTTCCTTCCTACGTGTGCAAACACGCTGGAAGAATACGAAGCCCTCCGAGGTATTAAAAATGTGATTCGAGCGAATCTTCGC